CGTGAATGAATGTGTGTGTGTGTGTGTGTGTGTGTGTGTGTGTGTTTGTATGTATCTGTGTCTGTCTGTGTGTATGTGGGGGGGAGAGGGGGGTCTATGACTGTGTGGGTCCAATGGGACACAGACCTATTGCTTTTCCACAGTTGTTAAGTTACTAGTACAAAGAGCCAGGACACACGAGAAGGCGGTATGCTGCCACAATGCAAAAGAGACAAGAAAGGGGTATAAAGGCAAGAAAGAATAAAGGAAAAAAGAGGGATATATAGATATATGGATAGAGAGGGAGAGAGATAGATTGCTACAGAGAGACAGAGAGACAGAGAGAGAGGGAGGAGGGGGTGAAAGAGAGAAGGCTGATGCACAACCCTTGTACTTCCATCGTTAACCAGGAATTATGCGAAAACTTCATTTCATTTGAAATAAAATCCAAATCATGGAGCTTTAAAGCAATTTAGTTGTCTGAACTCTCGAAAACAAGCCAAAAATTTAAAAAATGTCTCTCAGATGAAACCGAAGAGTATCACCAGTTCATCCTGTAAAATATCTCCTACTGTCGTTGGTGCTAACTACAAAAAGGCACCATTTTTACTGAAATAAAGTATGACAATAGCTACACCAAAAAGATGCAGACAGACCAGACCAGATCAGAGCACCCACCCACAGCCCACATTCTCAAACGTACCTGTAGTCATAGGTGTAGGTGTATCCAGGGCTGTATTTGAACTTGTCGTTTTCTTCGCAGGTCTCAGAGCACGAGTTAGACTCTTGTACGGCGATCGGCCCTATGGACACAAATGGACATTGTGATTTTATGCATCGAACAGCAGTCTTTATTTCTTATCTTTTAGTATTTTTAAATTCTTTTTTTGTTCTTTTTTTTTTTTTTGGGGGGGGGGGTGTCGTTTTGGTTCACTGGGAATTTTTTTTGTTCACTCTAATAGAAAAGCTCAGATTGAAGAAATTGAAAGACATCGATCTTTATCTAGAGCTGAGGTGGAATCAGAATCTTATACATGTACTTAAATTCACGACCCCGACCCATGAGGCTTGTCTCTCCAATTTTTATTTTTTGGCTCAGCAGCGTTATGTCCATTTAAAACACGTTGCTGTGCGGCTTTTAATGAAAACTTGCAGTTTAAAGACATAAAAATGTAATTCACAGCTTCTAAGGAACCTCGAGTTGTTTTGTTTGTTTCTGTCTTGGGGGGGGGGGGGGGGGGTCTTTTGTGTTCGTTGTTGTTGCTGTTGCTGATTGATGCTTTTGTTTGCTTTAATATTTGTTTTGGGTTGGGTTTTTAAACTTTTAGAAAGAAATATAACATGTGGGGAAAAAAAGGGGGGGGGGGGGTGTGAAGGCTATGAGCTGAGATGGGTGCGTGTTGAGATTTGTAATGTGGTTGTCTTTGTTGAATTTAATAATTATCCCTTTATAAAACTGAAGTTCAGTAAAGAATGAAAAGCTCAAGGCGATGTTCTCTACTTCCTTGTTTGTTTTTGTTTTTTAAGGATTTCTAAAGCATCAGTTATTGTTGCTTCCAAGGGGAATGATAAGTATATCAAAAGACAACATTCTTTAATTTTTTTAAAAAAGAACAAAAATGCAAAAAGGAGAATGTGATCAATATAACATTTTGGAGTAAATGTTCTGACCTATGAATCTCAAAAACAAGACAAAATTTAATGATTTATTACCTAATGTTTAAAACCACATTTATGGGAATTCCAGTATCATCTTAACTATTGACTATATACACAAGGTGCAAACCGGTGTCTGTGGTGTAGCGGATAGGTGCTTAGCCGTCACATGCAGGAGATCAGAGTTCGATTTCCGAGTAGGGAGAACTTTTATCGAGTATCTCGGTCTTTGTGCTGGGATGTATTATCCATCTAAGATAGTGTTGGCCCTAACATGCTAACTCGAAGCCTGCTTAATATCTAAATTTTGTCCCAAGTAGGGGGAGGGGGGGGGGTGATACAAAACCTAAATTTTGAAAAATGGCAAAGACTGTTTCAACTATAGCATTGATCCCTCCTGCCCTATTCAACGAAGAAACATACTAAGAGACAAAATGTTGTGCGGATAAATTCCCCCTTATCATTTGAATGAAACTGAATTTTTAAAAAGCTCTCTGATGATAGAAGATCAATTGAATCTCTTTTAAAGATAGAATCATGAAAACATTTCTGTAAAGTTACAATTTCCCGACTTTGTCTCTTTTTATTAAACTGCAGTGACTTATCTCTTAAAAGTTCAGAAAGTGCCGTAAAAAGTTGA